TAGCAACAAAAATAATTTTATGGTTGGGTCACAACATGAGGAACTGTATTTAAAGGGCCAGAAGGTTGAGAACCACTGAACTAAATGGTAGCAAGGAGGAATCTAGAAGTACTATTATAATTGGGAAAAAGGAAAGGCAATAGAAAATAAGTGAATTAGTAATGTAGTGATAAGTAATATAAGATATAGATAGAAAAAGTAAAATGAAAAAAAATGAGAAAAACAAAACAAGGAATAATAATAATAATAATAATAATAATAGACAAAAGTAGAATAGAATCAATGTGAAGAGAAAAATTAGGGATATGCAAGAAAAAGAGAAGAAAAAAGGGAAAAATAAAAAACCCCACTCACACACACAGATAGAAAATCACAATTGCACACACTCACAGACTGAAAAACCGTTGGGTCTGCTATTTGTGGAGCTCACTGGATTTTGCTCTGATATTGTTGAGTCTGGTCCCTGGTGTGTCTATTCTGGGCCCCTTGGAAGCTTCTCTGGTGCAGGTCGTGTGAGTCACTGTCACTTTCTGGCCCTGGGCAGCCTGATTGAGGCCTGAGGGGTTGAAGCCCTTGGTAGTCCAATGGGCGGGGACTCCTTAGCCCAGAGGCTGGGCTGCCTTGAGTCTCACAACTTGATTGTCCCTGTTCTGAGCTGCACTCCCTTCCCCTCCCCTCATAGTGCTGGGCTCTGCGGGGGTAGCCTGGTCTTGGCTGGGATGGTTTTGTCAGACTGGTGTTGGGGTTGGTGCCAGTAGCTTGGGGGTGGTAGGCCCCTCCCCTCCTTCTAATGCCGCAGCTCTGTCTGCTTTGCTGGCAGCTCCTCTCTGCCACCTGCAGGGGCACAGACTTCCTGCCCCCCGCTGCTCCCCTTGCCTCAGGTCACTGCAGGTTGGGTCAGAAGCAGCTGTTTTGCCAGGAAAGAGGGGACCTCCCTGTGTTCCAGGTGGGCAGGGCTGATCCTCCTTCCTTAAGCCACTGTCCAGCCCCTTTCTGCTCTCCCAAAGGAGCTCCTCCAAGAAATAGAGGGGCCCCCAGATTCAGTGTCAAGTGTGTCCTCCAGGCCCCTCCAGTGCAGGCTGGGCCTGAGCTCCACTGCCCGGCCCTTCCCACTGGTCGGAGGAGCTTCCCAGGCTGCAGGAGGGTGGGTGCCAGCGCTGCTCTATCCAGGGACTTCCGCCCAGGCTTCCCTGCTCCACCCACTCATCTCCACAGCCAGTGCCCCCGGGCCTCCTCTCAGTCCCAGGCCTCCCGTCTCACCACAGATCCCCAGCCTCTTCAGTCTCCTCAGGTCCTCGGTTCTAGTAGGTTCAGGGCAGGGGAGGCCACGCCCACCTCCCAGCCTTCAGCTTAGTTCCTGCCCCGGATCCCTGGTGCTGCAGCCGAGCAGCTGGGCTCTAGGGCAGCACTGGCTGCACCATAGTGGTGGTGGTGGGTGAGTACAGAGCAGGGCCCTGAGTCCTGCTGGGTCTGTGGCAGTCATGTGGTGGTGGGTCTATGTGAGGCACACGGGTTTAGGCTGGGTACATGCCAGGTGCAGAGGTCCCGCTGGTGTCTGTTACGGGAGTACGGGTCTGAGTTGTGACCTCTGTGGGCTCACGGGTTCCAGGCAGGGTGCACATGGCTTTGGACCCAGGCCAAAGTGAGTTCAGATGGTGGCGAGGCTTGGCACCTGGCCACTGCCGCTCCCCAGGGCATCCTCCCAAGGAGGACCTCCTAAACCTTTCAAGGTGGCACCCTCTCCAAGCTGAAGCTGTGCCCAGGGAGTCACTGTGGTGGTAGCAGAGGCTTCTTGTGCCCATAGTACAGGGCCCCATTGCTGTTTCCTTAGGTGCACGGGGCCAGGCCTTGTCTGGGGTGGGTGCTAATTTTTACTTCTTAAGCCCTCACCTTTTTTATGCTCCACCCCAACCTGCCTCCCATCTGGCAACCATCAACATGTTCTCTGTATCTATGAGTCTTTTTTAGTTCTGCTTGTTCATTTATTTTGTTTTTTAGATTTCATTGTTGAAAGATTATATATATATATATATATATATATATATATATATATATATATATTGCAATCTTACTGTTCATATTTTTATATTTTCTTTTTCTTCTTTTTAAAGAAAACTCACATTTCTTTTAATACTTGTCTGGAGGCAATGAGCTCCTTTAGCTTTTTCTTGTCTGGAATGTAAGTGATAGCTTTGCTGGGTAGAGTAATCTTGTTTGTAAGTCATTGCTTTTCATCAATTTGAATATTTCTTGCCACTCCCTCTGGCCTTCAAAATTTCTTTTGAGAAATCAGCTGCACAGTCAGATGGGCACTCCCTTGCAGGTAACTATTTGCTTTCCTCTTATACCTTTTAAGATTATCTCTTAGTCTTCAACTTTTGGCATTCTAATTATGATGTGTCTTGGTGTGGGCCTCTTTGGGTTCATCTATTTGAAACTCTCTGTGCTTCATGGACTTGTATGTCTGTTTCCTTTACCAGGTAAGGAAGATTTCTATCATTATAATTTTTTACATAGTTTTTCAATTTCTTGCTCTCTATTTTTTTCTGGCACCGTCATGATGTGAATATTGGTATGATTGAAGTTGTCTCAGAGGCTCCGAAACTATTTTCATTTTTTTCATTCTTTGTTATTGTTGTTCTAATTGGGTATTTTTTGCTTCCTTATATTCCAAATTTCTGATTTGATTCTCAGATTTATCTATTCTACTGTTGATTCCCTGTACATTATTCTTCATTTAAGATAATGTATCCATCATTTCTGATTGGTTACTGCTTATGGTATCTATGTTCCTCTTTATGCTGTTGGAGTTATTACTAAGTTCTAATGAGTGTTTTGAACTCTGCATCTACTAAATTGCTTGTCTCCATTTTGATTACCTCTTTTTCTGGAGTTTCATTCAGTTCTTTCATTTGAGACATGTTTCCTTATTTTCTCATTTTGGCAGACTATGTTTATTTCTATGTCTTAGGAATAGTTGCTGTGTATCATGGGCTTGGTTGCATGGCCTTATGTAGTAGGAGTCTTGTGGTATCAAGTGGCACAGCCTTCTTGTTCACCTGAGCTGGGCATTCAGGTAACCCCACTGGTGTGGCTCTGTACTCCTTTCTGTTAGAGTTGCCTTGATTGCTCTTGGCAAGTCAATGGGAGGGATTTGCCTCCAGGCAGATTGGCTATAAGGAGTGGCTGTGATCATTTGGAGGATCAGCTATATAGGGGCCCACCCCTCAGAGCAGGATTTACTTCAGCAGGGCTGTGGTGCCCACCAAGCCACCCTCCTGGATGTTTCACTTGAGGAGGTGGTTGGATGGTGCTTATACATGGTCTGAAGCTGTCCACCGGGTGAGCTGGCTCTAGGCCTCCCAGGAGGTGCAGACCAAGGTCAGCTGCTGCCTGTGTTCTATTCTGGGCCACCCAGCATGAACTACAAAGTGACCTTTAGGTGGCTGCTACCTGTGCTGGGCTTAAAGGTTGTGAATCAAGTCCTGCTGCTGCTGCTAGTCCAGACCTGGGGTCACTTAGCAAGAGGTACAAGTTCAGATGCTCCTTTTTTGGGAGATTTTCGGAAAGTCTGAAGCGTGAGCCAAGATAGGATGTTTGTATGGAAAAGTCACTGGAAACAGCGTGGGTGGGTCCACAAGTTGGGTGGGGTGGGATCTCAGGAAATGTGAACAATGATAGTGAGATTGATAGAGATTCAGATATAGCACCCATCTGCTAGGCTGGGCAGGGGGGAGGGGGTGGGGGGGGAAGACGCATGGAGGGGAGGGACAGTCTCAGAAAAGGAACACTGGCCTCTGCCAGCCCTTCTGTCTGAGAGAAAGCTTCCTCTAGCTCTGGCCCTGATACCAGATGATTCAGTTCCTCTCCTTATGTCCCTGGTGCCTTTCAATGTGATGCCCCTTCCATGGAGCTCAGAGGGGCTGAGTCAAAGTTCCTATGCTGGCCCTTTAAGAGGGATGCCTGGGACTCCAGCAGCCCTCCTCCTCACTCAGACACAATCCTTGAGGCCTGGTATGGAGCTGGTATCCTTCTCTCCTGGGAGGAGATGGGGAAGACTTTTTCAGCTGAGATATTCCTCTTGATTTTTATCTGCCACAGGTGAGTATGAGACCAGCACGATCCGCATCTCCACCCATCCTACCAGTCTTGATGTGGCTTCTTCTTTATATCCTTAGCTAGTGGCCCAGTGCATGGATTCTTGCACATTGAAAGGAAATTAATTAGAAGGTGGCTGGCAGGGCAGTACTGGGCGATACAGGCCAGACACGCCCTGGAGCCAACTTCCCACAGTCCCTCCCCAGATGGCCACACCTGGGGCAGTGCTGTTATTCAAAAGAGCGTCTGCGGAGTGAGCGGGGTCCCTCCGGCAGGTGGGGTCCCTTGGCCTGGCCTGCAGAGATTGGGTGGAAACTGGCTCTCCAACATCCTCTGGGCAGTGATGGTGAACCTATGACACGCGTGTCAGAGGTGACACACGAACTCATTTTTTTTCGTTGATTTTTCTTTGTTAAATGGCATTTAAATATATAAAATAAATATCAAAAATATACATCTTTGTTTTACTATGGTTGCAAAGATCAAAAAATTTCTATATGTGACACGACACCAGGGTTAAGTTAGGGTTTTTTAAAATGCTGACACGCCGAGCTCAAAAGGTTCACCATCACTGCCCTGGGGGGTCCCATTTACTGTACACAAATGCAAGTGTACAGTAAACCAGATTCAGGGCCTATAGTGCCCCAACAACATAACCCTCAGCCGAAGGTGCCTCTCCGGTTTCAGGGTGCATCACCCGAGAACTGCCACTGCCAACTAACTGCAGCTCAGCAGCTCCTGCATTAAGCATCTGACCCCTGGTGGTCAGTGCCTGTCAGAGCACCTGGTCAGGCAGTCAGACACTTAGCATATTAGCCTTTTATATAGGTAAAAAGTTATTTGTAATTCATTATTTTGCATATTGCTTAAAACTGACCTTATAATTTCCATTTTATTTGCAGTCCATTTGGCTGCTTCTGCTGGAAGCCTCCTATATTTTGCCAGTTTCTTTCCATTTAAATCCATTATTGGTAAGTATGGACAGATAACCATCACCAACAAGGTGGCTGCCTGTCTCAGCTCAAATGTTGCACTGGCACTGGGGGTTAATCTTCTGCTCAACTTAGAAATAAAGGGTAAGTGTTTGCCTTGAAAATTTTGCCTTTACTTTTTGATTCCCAGAAAGGTAGAATAAGGCAGGGTGTGTGAGACAGTGGGTAAGAAGGTAAGAAATGTAACAAATATTATTTATTCCCAGATTTTCTTATTTTTTATAAAGACAATTATGTTAACTGTAAAAGAAATCAGAAATGTGTAAAATTAAAAGTTCCCATCGCTTCACAATAAACCCCCAGTTATACTCTTGAATAAAAGAATTTTAAACTTTCTAATCTACACTGTGCTATATTTACCTAATGCTTTATATTTTCCTCTTCCCATATAGACACACTCCTTTTTTATTACAAAGCTGTATATTTCATTGTGAAGAAGTACTATAATTAACTAGTTTTCTCAATGCACATTTACGTGGTTTCCAATTTTTTGCTATTATTCTCATAGTACGTATATATTTGCTCATACAAAATGCATACTAATATAAAAAATTATGAGATATAAAAATGCTATTTTATAAAGTATTCGTAACTTAATTTTTTTCTGATTATAATTATTACTTATTAATAAGGCTAATAAGAAGAAAGATAACCATATTTATTAGTAAATTCTTCAGATTTGAGGTACAGAATTTGGTTACCACATTCATATTGGATTTATCTACATTGCTCTCCTCAGATAAGGCTGACCCAGACAAAAATCCACTTAGCCATTGCCAGTGTTATGATTAGCTATAGTGAACCTGCTCCTAAAATCACATGCTCAGGAATCCACTGTCACTAATGGAACCCTTCATAGATTTGGCTTGGTTGGACTCCATTAAACTAGAATGGAGACTCATAGTTTCATAATAGGATCCAAATTGCTCTTTTCATTGTACCTATTTTTGTCTGTAAAAAACAACCATTAGTTAACAACTCCACTGATCTCATCAGAGAAGTCTAAGTGTACAGAAACTCTCCAGCTTGTGGTGACAGACAATAGCTTCCCAGATTCTGTCTTTCATGTGAAAGCTTGACTTCATTGATAACATATTCAGGTGTGGGCAAAAGTAGGTTTACAATTGTTCATATGGAAAAATACAAACAAATAATTTAAGAATAAACTTTTGTGTACTCACTACTATAAACCTACTTTTGCCCACCCATGTATACTGTCAGTCAGATTTTAAGCACTTGATTATTAGCTAATCAAAAAAGTTTCTGGAATATTATTAGTACTTCTTTTAGTTCTTCATTGTTGAAAGTATTATATATATATATCTCCCTTTTCCCCCCTTAACCTATCCCCGCCCACTCCCACACCCCAGCACAAGCCCTCATCTCCCCACTGACTGTGACCATTGGTTATGCTTGTATGCATGCACACAAGTCCTTTGATTGATCTCTTATCACCACCCTCTCCTAAGTATCTCTGCCTTCCTTCTGAGGTTTACTAGTCTGTTGGATGCTTCTATGTGTCTGGATCTATTTTTGTTCATCAGTTTATGTTGCTCAGTATATTCCACAAATGAGTGAAATCATGTGCTATTTATCTTTCTATGACTGGCTTATTTCACTTTGCATAGTGCTCTCCAGGGCCATCCATGCTGTTGCAAATGGTAAGAACTCCTTCTATTTTACTGCAGTGAAGTATTCCATCGTGTAGATGTACCACAGTTTTTTAATCCACTCACCTGCTGATAGGTGCTTAGGCTGTTTCCAAATCTTAGCTATTGTTGCCCTGACCGGTGTGGCTCAGTGGATAGAGCGTCAGCCTGTGGACTGAGGGGTCCCAGGTTCGATTCTGGTCAAGGGCATGTACCTTGGTTGCGGGCACATCCCCAGTAGGGGGTGTGCAGGAGGCAGCTGATCGATGTTTCTCTCTCATCCATGTTTCTAACTCTCTATCCCTCTCCCTTCCTCTCTGTATAAAAATCAATAAAATATAGTTTAAAAAAAAAAAAATCTTAGCTATTGTAAATTGTGCTGCTGTGAACATAGGGGTGCATATTTCCTTTCTGATTGGTGTTTCTAATTTCTTAGGGTATAGTCATAGAAGTTGGATCACTGGGTTAAATGGCAGTTCTATTTTTATTTTTTTGAGGAAAATCCATACTGTTTTCACAGTGGCTGCCCCAGTCTGCATTCCCACCGGCAGTGCACGAGTGTTCCTTTTTCTCCGCATCCTCACTAGCACTTGTCATTTGTTGATTTGTTGATGATAGCCATTCTGACAGGTGTGAGGTGATACATAATTGTCATTTTGATTTTTATCTCTCAGATGATTAGTGACTTTGAGCATGTTTTCATATGTCTCTTGGCATTCTGTATGTCCACTTTCAAAGTGTCTATTTAGGTCTATTGCCCATTTTTTTTATTGGATTATCTTCCTTTTGTTAAGTTGTATGGGTTCCCTATAAATTTTGGAGATTAAACCCTTATCCTATATAATAAAACCCTAATATGCAACTTGACCGAACAGTGGAACAACTGGCGAAACGACCAATCGCTATGATGCGCACTGACCAACATGGGGCAGACGCTCAACGAAGGAGCTGCCCCCTGGTGGTCAGTGCATTCCCACAGGGGGAGCACCGCTCAGCCAGAAGCCAGTCTCATGGCTGGCAAGTGCAGCAGTGGTGGCGGGAGCCTCTCCTGCCTCTGCTGCAGATGGGTGGTAAGGAGCAAGGGGTCCCGGCTGTAAGAGTCTCGGACTGTGAGAGGGATGTCTGACTGCCAGCTTAGGCCCATCTCCCCCGAGGATCAGGCCTCAGCCAGCAGATGGACATCCCCTGAGGGGTCCCGGACCAGAAGAGGGTGCAGGCTATGCTGAGGGAACCTCGCCCCCCTCAAGTGCACAAATTTCATGTACCGGGCCTCTAAGTTGGATATAAGATTGGCAAATATGTTCTCCCATGCACTGTGCTTTGTTGTTGTTTTGTTGATGGCTTCTTTTGCTGTGCAAAAGCCTTTTATTTTTATGTAGTCCCAGTTGTTTATTTTCTCATATTTTGGTGCTTATGGCTTCTTCTAAGATTTTTATGGTTTTTTCCATCTTATGTTTAAGTCCTTGATCCATTTTAATTTTATGTATGGTTTAAATTGGTAGTCTAGTTTCATTTTTTTTTCATGTATCTGTCCAATTTTTCCAATACCATTTATTGAAGTGACTGTCTGGACTCCATCATATGCTCTTGTCTCCTTTGTCAAATATTAATTGAACATAATGGCTTGCGTTGATCTGTTCCATTGGTCTAAATATTTGTTCTTGTGCCAGTACCAGGCAGTTTTGAGAACAGTGGCTTTGCAATATAGCTTGATATCTGGTATTGTGATCCCTCCAACTTTCTTTTTCTTTCTCAGGATTGCTGCAGCTATTTGGGGTCTTTTTTTATTCCAGATGAATTTTTGGAGAGTTTGTTCTAGGTCTTTGAAATACTCCATCGGTATCCTAATGGGGGTTGCACTGAATCTATACATTGCTCTGGGTAGTATGGGCATTTTAATGATGTTGATTCTACCAATCCATGAACATGGTATATTCTTCCATTTGTTCATGTCTTCCTCTATCTCTTTTTTCAGCATCCTATAGTTTTCTGAGTACAGGTCTTTTACCTCCTTCGTTAAGTTTACTCCTAGGTATCTTTTCTTTTGGGCGGGGGGGGGGGGGGGTGGTGCAATGGTAAATGGCATTTGTTTTAGTTTCTCTTTCTGTGAGTTCATTATTGGTGTATTAAAAAAAAGCCATAGATTTCTGGGTGTTAATTTTGTATCCTTCTACATTGCTGAATTCATTTATTAAGTCTAGTGGTTTCTTGATGCAGTCTTTAGGGCTTTCTATGTACAATATCATGTCATCTGCAAAAGAAGACAGTTTTGCTTCTTTTCCAATTTGGATGCCTTTTATTTCTTCTTCTTGTCATATCACTATGGCTAGTACTTCCAATACTTTGTATAACAGGAGTGGTGAAAGTGAGCATCCCTTTCTTGTTTCTGTTCTTAGAGAAAATGGTTTTATTTTTGCCCATTGAGTGTGATGTTGGCTGTAAGTTTGTCATATAAGGCGTTTATTATGTTGAGGTATGATCCCTCTATTCCCATTTTGCTGAAAGTTTTTATCAAGCAAGAGTGTTGGATTTTGTCAAATGCTTTTTCTGTATCAATTGTTATGATTATGTTTTTTTGTCTCTCAATTTGTTTATGTGATATATTATGTTTATTGATTTGTGGATATTGTACCAGCCTTGCATCCCCAGAATAAATCCCACTTGATCATGGTGTATGGTCTTTCTAATGTAATGCTGGATCCAGTTTGGTAGGATTTTGTTGAGGATTTTAGCACTTATGTTCATCAGGGATATGGCTTGTAATTCTCTTTATTTTGTCTTTATCTGGTTTTGGGATTAGGGCACTGGTGTGTTCATAGAAAGAGCTTGGAAGTATGCCTTCCTCTTGAATTTTTTGGAATAGTCTGAGAAGGATAGGTTTTAGTTCTGTGAATGTTTGGTAAAACTCCTCTGTGAAGCCATCTGGACCAGAGATTTTGTTTGATGGAAGGTTTTTTATTACTGCTTCAATTTCTTCCATAGTTATCAGCCTATTCAGATTTTTTTTTTATTTTTCCTGATTGAGTTCGGAGGATTGTATTTTTCTAGGAATGTTTCCATTTCATCTAGGTTGACCAATTTGTTGGAATAGAGATGTTCACAGTATTTTTTTTACAATCCTTTGTATTTCTATGGGGTCTGATATCACTTCATTTCTTTCATTTCTGATTTTGTTTATTTGGGTCCTCTCTCTTGCTTCTTGGTGAGCCTGGCTAGAGGTTCATCAATCTTGTTTATGCTTTCAAAGAACCAGCTCTTTTTTTTTGTCTCTATGTTATTTATTCCCACTCTGATCTTTATTATTTCCTTCATTCTGCTTACTCTGGGCTTTTCTTGTTGTTCTCTTTCTAATTTTTCAAGTTATAGAGTTAGATTATTTATTACCAGTTTCTCTTGTTTTTTGAGGTATGCCTGTAATGCTATGTACTTCCCTCT